TGTTTGGCCCGACTGATTGTTGGCTTAGGGGAGTAATTTGTCTGTACAGGGAGAATAAAGTCACCGGATCTTTCCCTGCTCGGTGCAGCCTGAGTCCCCAGACCTTAGGACTATCCCAAGTAGTTCTTTTTCCAGCATCTGTGAACCTTAGGATGAGAGGGTTGCATTTTCCTCCGGGGGTGGCGCCTTGAAAACCTCCCCCTCCGGCACTATCATAACAGGGTCCGCAGGCTCTTTGCCCACATCTCCATGGTCCTTTTCCTGCGTACCCTGGGATCTCCCTCCGTTTGAGGGTGATGAAATCCCAAGAGGAAGAGGGTTTCCAGTAAGCCTCCCCTGTGGTTTCACATCCCCAGCTTGCACAGTACCCTTCCTGTGGCCCCCCGCAGCCATGAGTTGGTTTATGGCTGGGGCAAACATAAAAATCCTTGTTTCTTGTTCCTCTCCTTCCCCCAGGGTGGTGGCATCCGTACCCTGGGAATGGTTCCTGGTCAGAGGGATCCCAATCAGACCCTACTAAGTCACATAGGTCGACATAGAGAGGAGGGAACCCATCATGTAGAGTAGAACTGCTCACCCCATGCCAATGGAAAGCTGGAGGCAGTGAAATGGGTGAGTGAGAAGATACATGTGACCCACCTCCTGTAACTGGGCCCCGATATCCTAACAGTCCATTCAGCCTTGGATTCATTCACCTTTCCTGGAGCCCATGAACTGGTAATCAATCACGCGTTTGATAGATGAGCTGACAGTGATGGGGAATGGGGTAGGGGGTGATATCCAAACCATGATGTTAATAAGAAATATGCACATAGCACATCAGAAGATGCACCTAACCTTGCCTGAGAGATCGGAGGTTTCCTGGGAACAGGGAAAACTGGATGGAAAAGGAAGTAACAGTTGCTCAAGAAAAGAGACAACTAACAAGAAAGCATTTTATATAACACCCATAGCAGAAAGGACATAGCTGGAAGGCCTGGTCCACTGATGGAGTATGAGGCAGTCAGCTATGACCACATGAGAAGATGCATGCTGGAAACTAGGTTGCTCTGGGTCCTGTGTCAAGGAGCCTGGAAGTGTGGCATGAGACCAGAGAAAGAGAGTTTAAAAGAAACAGTAAGGCTGGACAGTAGTCAACACATTTGAGAGGCTTCAGGACATAACTACCAGGAGTGAAAACAGAGGGAAAGGTAAAGAAGGGAAAAGGGAGGCAGGGAAGTGGGGAGAGAGAGAGTTCAGAAGAGGAATGCAGGTACATGTCCATCTTGGGTAGCTAGGAGATGGCTAAGCGCTATGCCTACTAGAGAAGGGAGGAAGATATTCCCAATGGACATTCTAAATCACAGTGCCTATGGAAAATCCAAATTGCAATTTCCAGAAGAGGTTAGAGAAACAAGATATGTTACATATAAGTGAAGGGAGATGCTCAGAAGTGGGCTTCTGGGGAGCACAGGCAGCACCCAGAGCAGATCAGGAGTGTAAAGTGGGTGACTCCTCCCAGGAAAGGGTGAAGCAGTCACTGATGAAAGGGCATGAGCAGAATCCACGGTGCTATGTGTGTGCACGGAACAGAACAAGCTGAACCCACAAGAGAAAAGTTGTTCAGATGATCCAGGGCAAGAGTATAGTGCACACAACACACACACACATATTCACACAGTGCACACCATACCACACACACATAGTACACACCACACACACACACAATCATATACACATACACCACACACACACACCACATACACATATACATATCACACACACACATACCATGAATACCATACACACATACTTCACGTATCATACACACACCACACATTTACACACACACACACACCATACACACATGCATACCACACATTTACACACACATACACACACACATATCACACCACACATTTACACACATACACACACACACACCACACACATATATCACACCTTTGTATACAGCTTTGGAAACTAAGGGAACATGTGATTATTTGCAGATGGGACCATTTTCTACGTTAAAAATCAAAACTCAATACAACATGATGGCCTGGCCTGGATCCTAGACCACGTGAAATCCAAGTAAGATTATATAAGATATATCATGAACTGTGGCTTATAGTTCATGATATATCTTATATAACTATTATCTCTTGAAAACTAAGATATTAGTCTAAGGAAAGGGTTAGAAAAGGGTACAGAGCAACTGTGAAGTCATGTGACTCTCCAAAATCAAAATTACTTCAAAGTATAGCTTTTCAAGATCAAGCACTATCTGAGTTATTTAGAAAAGCTGCCAAACATAACAGCAGGTGACGGCCATTCTCTGCACACACCCCAGACTGCTGTTAGGAAAATGATAGTGGTAACAGGCTAATGAGACGACTCAGAGGACAAAGCTGCCTGCCACCAAGGCTGGGGACCTGAGTTCAAGTATAGGACCCATATACTTGAATATATATACTTGGTATAAGGAGAGAACTGACTCTCAAAGGCTATCCTCCTGTCTGGTCTCCATAAGCACATTGTCTGTATGTGTCAAAGGCTCTTGGATCTCCAGTGGCATCATCTAAGTCAGACTGTGGCATTCTGAAGCTTTGGATGCAACATGGAGTCAAGCGGCCACAGTGTAGAGATAGACAAGAGAGTCCTGGTCCCTGCTCAGTGAACAGTCAGGAGCTGACAGAATCCTTTCTTTGTCTGTCATTTACAAAAATTTGTTTTTTAAATTGTGGGTATTGGTAGAGAGGGGATTTGCATGTGCATGCGGTTGTCCACAAAGTCCAGAAGAGGGCATCAGATTCCCTGGAGCTGTAGTTCCGGGAAGTTGTGAGCCTCCCAGCATGGGATAGAATTCAGGTCTTCTGGGAGAGCAGCAAGTGCTCTCAACCACCAGGCCATCTCTCTTTGGTGACTAGTTCAGAGACATAAGAGCCCCAAATACAGCCACCATGGACTCTCTCTGGCCTGTTTTTTTTTGGGGGGGGGCGGTCATGTAGTTCAAGTGAGAAAGTGTTGTCAGTCTTGGGCAGGGGCATTTTACCGAAAAAATAGCTGCAATAGTGATGCCTCAAGAATTTAGATTCAGGACCCCACACTGTCTTCTGGCAGGGCAAAACAAGGCAGGACTGAGCACATGAAACTAAAAATAAACACCTGGCTTCCCCTATAAAAGTATGCATTCAATGGAGAAATGTTCCTAAAGTGTTTCTATAAATACATGGCCAGGGAATCACTGTAATGGAAAACAGATTGTAGCTGCCAGGCATGGTGCTGGAGAGTTAGTAGAAGTGCCTAACAGTGAGCAGAGGGTCTCTGTGATGGCAGAACTGTGGTTTGAGTGCAATGTCCCCATGGGCTCATGTGTTTTTTTTTTTTAACACTCAGTCTCTAGCTATTGAGTTTGTGGAACCTTTGGGAGGTGGAGCTTCACTGAAGGAAGTGGGTCATTGGGGTTGGGGCTTGAGACTTTAGAGCCTGGCCACACTACCTGTTCACCCTCTGTTTCTTGAGTGTGGCTGCAATGCGACCATCCAGCCTCTGGTCCTGCCGCCATGCTTTCCCCATCTTCTGCCATGTCTTCCCTGCCATATAGGCATGTATCTCCTTAAACTGTGAGCCAAAATAAACCACTTCTCCTTTAAGTTGCTTGTTTCAGGGTATTTTATCATGGCCACAGGAACATAATTAAGATAGTAGTAGTCTATGTCTTCACTGTTGATGTCAGTATCATGTCTGGGATAATGAACCATATAACTTTGTAAGATGTTAACATGGGGGAAGCTGGAAGAAGGGAGATGAAATCTACATTATTTCATACTGCTGCATCTGAATTAATCTTCAGCTCTACCAGTATTAAAATTTAACACAAAAATTAGTCAACTACTCAAAATCTGTACTTAGTTTGAAAAATTAACATTTTTAGTCTGTGCATCAAGTTCTACAAATTATTTGAGAGAAGTTATGTCACATGAAAAAGGGACTTTCCTCTAGGTGCTATTTTTCTATTGGCTTCAGTTTCCATGTAGGAGGAGAATGGAAGGAACCAAGAAATCAGGGCCAAAGCTACACACACACAGACCAAAGGCTTTGCCCTCAGGGCCTGTAGATTTCCTCATCTTATAATCATTGCTTCCCAAAGACCTAAGTCAGGTTCTGTTTAGATAGATGGTTTCTGCTCCTGCAGATTGTGCAATTTGAATGCAGTTTCTTAAAGTTGAATATGTGTTATGTCATAAAAGCACAATATGATACAAAACTCTGAAGAGAAGTTTTGGTTGATTAAATAAATCTTAATGATTTCATCGTTCTTACCACCATAGGAATATGTACAAAATGAATAGGAGTCATTGTGTTTTTTTATCTCCCCTGGTAGCTTATTATTCTACTCGATAAGCTCTCAATTATTCAGAACTCACTAGGGATTCTCAGTTTCCTTCATCTCTGTTCTTCCGTCTCTGCTGTCACCTGAGTCAAATGAGGGCCAGGCAGAGGGAAGCTGTGGCTCAGATACTCTGCCTCTGTTGCTATGTTAGCATCGGAAGGTGCAGGGTTGGGGCTTAAGGGTGAACAAGAAGACTTTCTGTGCCTCAGAAAGCTGAGTGTTTAAAACTCCCTATTAGTAACCAACTCCAAGAACTTCTGTGGTGGCTCCAGACATTTGATCCCTACACATTCTTCGCATAAGCTGCATGAAGCACGCTGTGCTACCCAGAGGCTGTGTCCTCTGGAAGAGGCCTTAGGAAGCTGTGGGTGGACATGAGCTCCCTTATCTGAGGAGACCAGCAACAGGAGGCCCTGAGCAAGTCAGTAGTCCTAACAGGAATAAGCCATAGGAAGTTGGAATGTTAGTCAGGGTTGGCAAATACCAGCAGCTAAGGAACATATTCACTGAAAACAATGGCTGGTATTTCTAATGTTTCATTTTATGATATAAATAAATTCTTGAAAATTCCTTGCCAACTCCCTTGGTTGTTTCAGCATTTAAGGACTTGTAAAAAAAGTGCATAGCACCTCCAAAATAAGTTGAAAATGTTGGGATGCCCACTGCAACTTTATTTATGCTACAACTTGCCTGTGAGTATTTATCTTTCTATTAATCACAGAACAAACCCGTAGATCTAGGAAATGGAATAAAGCTCAGGACTAAAAACAAATGAGTGACCAACTATGGAAAGACATGAGTACCATGCAGGAAAGGTAGGAAGTTGTGGCCATTGGAGGCAGGGGTGGATGTATAGAGCTCAGGATTCCCAGGGCAGTGAGATGACAGCGTGTGACATAGTTACAGAAATGCTGTCATACTGCATCTTTCCAAACCTCTGAAATGCACAGCGCCTTCACCAACATGAAAGACAGACTCAGTGTCAGGGATGAGTGAGTGTGGGTTTACTGAGACAAAAGTACAAGGGACACTAATGATGGAGAGGCTACGGATGGAGGGAGGAGTTGGAGGAAGTCTCTAGCTCCTCCTAATTTTGTAAAACCAAACTCTTTCCTAAAACAGCAATGGCTCTTAATTCACAAATTTAAAATAGGGCAACAAAATCAAAGATGGGGCCACACAGGAAACATTTAATAGTGAAGAATGTTTATGGTTAAAAAGTAAAAGTAGGAATGCATAGTGGGGACTGTGACACTGTAGAAATCAATCCCCAACTGGCAGACAGCCCTGACAGGGTCCTACCACACATAAACACACACACACACACACACACACACACACACATGCACACAATATGCTAAATTGGCATTTAGCTTGTGGTCACCAATATGAAAACCCTTCAACAACAGTCATTAGC